GGGCTGAGACCTGAGCTGGCGTAGACCCCAGAAGAGAGTAAAGTAAATGATAAAGGTGGGGAAATAGGATAGAGCTGGGAAAGGAAAATATAATGATTGCATTAAAGGAAGATAGCATGCCTGATATTTCTTTGGGTTGCAATCCCTCCCTCTAACTCATCCAATTTTTGTTTCCTGCCAGCTAATCGGGAGACAGCATTTGTACATGCCATCAGTTCTGCTGGGGTCATGTACACTCTGACTAGAAACTGCAGCCTTGGGGATTTTGACAACTGTGGCTGTGATGACTCCCGCAATGGACAACTGGGTAAGTAGTGATATTGGGGGTGGGTAGGGCAGGCCCACCCTTCGAGAATGAAAAGCTTGGTGGGTAGCTGGGTGGGATAAAGAAGAGTTGTATTCTTCCAAATCTGAAGAAGAACGGGGCAAACCAGTTTAAGCCCAAACTCGACAGAGACAAACCAGGCTAAATGGAGCATGGCCCTCCTCCCACGGAGTGGTTTCCTTAATTTAAACACAATAATGATTAAAGAACAACGCTCCCTGAGGTCAAGCCCTCAGATTGGGGAGGGGGAAGTCCTTCCACGTTGTCTATCTCTGTCTCCTTTCCGCTCTTTATCTCCATTGTCCTCTCCAATACTCTCTGCCCTCTGGCTCAACTTCCAATTTAGTGGTTAAATATTATTTAAAGTACTCCTCTCTGACCCTCTCAATGCTCCCGCTTTCCTCTCTCACCCTTTTCACGCCATTCTGTCCCTTCCGTGAGTCAATCTCTGGCAGGGCACGTGCACACTCTGCCCGAAGGCCAGAAACTCTGCAAGCAAAACGGTGCACCGGCACCTTGTAGAGAATCCACTAGGCAACTACTTACGTCATGGAGCCCTGAGCAGCGGATTGGCTGAAGATGGACGTGGGCGCGCAAAATGGCAAAAACAAATCTAGGCTGAAACTAATCTGGAGAGAAGGCACTCGCCCAAACTTAATCCTTCCCCAACCCAGATCCCCTAAACCCAATTAGAAACAGCAGCCCAGGAGGGTCCACGTAGTTTGCTCAACGACCTTTCCTCCCCTGCTTTTTTCAAGGAGGTCAAGGCTGGCTGTGGGGAGGCTGCAGTGACAACGTGGGCTTCGGAGAGGCAATATCCAAGCAGTTCGTCGACGCCTTGGAGACAGGACAGGATGCCCGGGCTGCCATGAACCTGCACAACAACGAGGCCGGCCGCAAGGTGAGTCCTGCAGCCCCTGGGGTTAGGCAGATGGCTCCATCCATTACCAGCCCTAGGTGCGGACAGCTCTTCATTTCATTTAAGTTTGGTAAAATGAGGTACTAAGGCGGCTGGCCTCGCAGACAGGCTAGATACCTGGCAACTCCCCAGAGGCAGAGACTCCCCACGTGCTTAATCCCTGGCCCGCTCATTCCTGGCTCTCCCCTCAGGCGGTGAAGGGCACCATGAAACGCACGTGTAAGTGCCACGGCGTGTCTGGCAGCTGCACCACGCAGACTTGCTGGCTGCAGCTCCCCGAGTTCCGTGAGGTGGGTGCGCACCTGAAGGAAAAGTATCACGCAGCTCTCAAGGTGGACCTGCTGCAAGGTGCTGGCAACAGCGCGGCGGGCCGTGGTGCCATCGCCGACACTTTCCGTTCCATCTCCACTCGGGAGCTGGTGCACTTGGAGGACTCCCCAGACTACTGCCTGGAGAACAAAACACTAGGACTGCTGGGCACCGAAGGCCGAGAGTGCTTGCGACGCGGGCGGGCCCTGGGCCGCTGGGAGCGCCGCAGCTGCCGCCGGCTCTGCGGGGACTGTGGGCTGGCAGTAGAGGAGCGCCGCGCGGAGACCGTGTCCAGCTGCAACTGCAAGTTCCACTGGTGCTGCGCTGTCCGCTGCGAGCAGTGCCGCCGGCGAGTCACCAAGTACTTCTGTAGTCGCGCCGAGCGGCCGCGTGGGGGCGCGGCGCACAAACCCGCGAGAAAACCCTAAGGGTCTCCTTTCCCCCACTCCTTTCCCCATTTGTCGTTGGCTTCTTTTAGAGACTCTGGTAATAGAGGAACCAGGGGAATGGGGATCCTGCACTCCCAAGCCAAGGGATTCCGAGAGAGACGCTGCAGTCTTTGGAGTTTGTCACCCAGTTCCCCTGCGCTCCACTGGAGCCGTCTGTCTGGTTCTCACCACCCATAATTAGGTCTGAGAACTGAGAGTTTTGAGCTATTGGTCTTCCCTGAACGAGGATGAGAATAGACATTTCCCTCTTCCTTTCTTAGCTGCCCTAACGCAGGACCTAGCCTATGGAGCCGTAGAAACAAGAAGACCCCTTCTCAAATATTCAGGGCCCGCGGGTAAAGCCATGGCTTTTTTTTTTTTTCTTACCCCCAGCCCATTGTCTGCTGCCAGATCTCTACCACAACTGCATCTTCCTTTTACAGAGCTACCCCTGTGCTTCTTATTCCCTGCTGTTGGTATAGACTCCCTGG